CTAAGAAGAAACATTTAAGGTGTCTACTACTCGAGATTGGCTTCACAAAGCATCCATCCAATCTTGTTCAACATAACATGTTACTTCTATTTTGCACAAAATTTTAGATAACTTCTGGCCATAATTTCTTTTGTCACCCCATTTTCAATCCAAATCTATTCATATAAATCTTCCCACAACGTTTGTACGTCTCAAATTCTCCATGGTATGTTAAACCACATAAGACAAGTCGATCTCCAAAACCTTATATTTAGTAGGATCATTTCCCACTCAATATTTATATTTATTTTCTCACAAATTCATCTACATATCTCATTTATATCAAACTAAAATTGACTATTTTCAATGACTTCTTTGTTACAATACTTTTGAATTCACATAGCATTGACTGCCTGATTACATTTTTATAAAAAAATTGCTTTCAAGCCTCAAATATAGTGTATTATCACCTAGTAGCATTGGTACTTGTCCACTTCAACCACTCAACTTTAACTTAGGAAGTGATGTGAATTTTTATGTATATAAAATCCATATTACCTAAATTTATCACCACTAAGTATCAATTAATCACCCAACAATATTGACAAACAATTATCATCATTATTCTAACTCTTCACTTATTTCAAGAAAAAATCTCCACTCATAGAAGTTATTAATCTAAAAATAGAATATACCAAGCTACCCAAATAAAGATTCTCCTATATTTCCCACAATATTATACATCTACTTTCTTCTTCAAGACTGAAATAAAATATTCTTCAAAAATCATTTGGCACCAACTTGATGCAAGGGACATTTGGGATATAAAGAAAATAATTTTTGTAGCTAAATTGCCAAAACCTTTGTTCTACCTAGGTCATTTCCTAACTAATTCCCTATAGTATCAATCAAAAGCAAAGATGACAAATTTACTAGTTAGTTTAGCCTACAGCCTTTTATCTACTTCAGTTAAATCCAAGGCAAAGAACTTAGATAAGGCTAACATAGTCAGAGCATGAATGATAACAAAAACATCAAATAGACCCTAAGTAAGACCAATTCAATCTTGTTTCAACTCAAATGGTTCAGAATACTCAATTACAATATAAAACCTGCATCAGAAAATTATGTATCAAGGATAAGTGCATAAATAGAGTCAGCATTGGCCCTTGAGGCTCTCAGGAAAATTTGAAAGTTCATCTTCAGAATATCATATTTGCAAATAAAATTTGAGGGACTCAATTGCAAAAAAAAAAAAAAAATCAATTGACATTCAAATAAAGAGAGGGAGACCAAGGAAAGAGGAGAGATAAATCCGAGTGGAAGGAATCAAGATTTCTTCACCTAATTCTACTTGGCTAACCACCATTTTAGGAGATTCAATGAAATATTCCTTAAGCTAATATTATCTTTATTTATGTATTTTAATCATTAATGATGTGTCTTATTCATCGGCTTAAATTAGTTTGAAAAGGTTCTCCTTAACTTGAATGGATGTAGAAAGTTCAGGAAAAAATTTCTTGAACTAGTGCCCTATGAATAAAAAGGATTGGCTTTTATTTTCCTATAAATAGGTTTAAAAGATGTAAAAATTAAATAAAATCCAGCATGCCATCCAAAGCACTAGGGCATGGGTTTAGGGGAGGAACCCTTTGGAGGCTGGGGGGGCAATTGCCCCCCACGAATTTTTTTTTGTTCATTATACTATTATTTAGGTAATTTGTCTCCCTTCAATCTATTTTTTAGTCTTTATTATAAGGGTTTTTAGGCAATTGCCCCCCCCCCCTCTAAAAAAATTAAAATACTATGGTGTTTAGGTAATTGTCACCAATATAATTAAATACATTGTGTAGATGTGTTATTGTTAAAGAATGATGAACCAAATACAAAGAGAAATCATAAATCAAATTTTGTTCTGGGGGCGCTGCCCTCTCTCTCTCTCTCTCTCTCTCTCTCTCTCTCTCTCTATCTATCTATCTCTCTCTCACTCTCTCTCTCTCTCTCTCTCGCTCGCTCGATCGCTCATTCCCTACTCATGGGTTTCAATTCAATCTTATTTTTGCTAAATTCCTCAATAGAAAGCCTAAATTCTTGAGCTAATAATTTCTATTTGACTTCTAGTCTTTCACAGCCTATTTTTTAGATCCCAATTTTGATATCAATTTCGTAGTTCAAATACAAATAAATTTCATTATAGTTTGTGACTGATTAAGAGAAACTTTCAAAAGTAGTACAAAGTCAAAATCCCTTGCATCAAGAATACATAGCTTTGAAAGAAATAAAAAAATTGGAAGATTCGATCTCTAATTTCAAAAATCATCTAAATAGATAATCAATTACTCAATTACCATGATGATTGCTTTTAAGAGAATCGGCATATAAAAAATAAGATGAAATGATGATAGAAGGCGCATAAAAAGTGCTTCTTATTGATCTAGTTATCATAATCTATTAGGAGTTCATAGACCATGCAAGAGTCCAAGATAGCATAGATATGACAAAAGAAGGTCACAGATTGAGCATCAAAGTGAACTGTGGGGTAAAGAGCAAAGCAAGTCAAACATGTACCTATCAGACCATATAAGATATTGGGATAGGTTTAATGGATTCAAAAGAGGCAGCAAATTTTTACGAAGATACTTCAAAAGAGGACCAAAAAAAGATTTTTTTTTTTTCAAATCCTTTTATGCAAGTACATTTCACTGCTAGCGATAATGCATCAGCTTCAACTTCATTCAGAATTGAGTGATTCATAACCAATCAAAATATGCTACCTCATCAAAAGGTTGTGCATCATATAGATGGGTTATGTCAGAGAAATTATGTAGATGGCTAATGTCAACTAAAAGGATCATTGGACAGAATGGTCATGTGAAATAATAAAGCTATTTAGCATTGATAAAGAACTTTATTTCCAAGATCACCATCATTGGTCAAGTGTTTATCATATTTATAAGTTACTATTATGTGATCAATTTCATTTGCAATAGCAAATTATCTTAAAGGAGTTATGATCTACTAAGCTCTCAATAAAATTTGTAAGTTTAAAGTTGGAAAGTAGAATTTGCAAATATAAAATAAGAGGCTAAATTGCGGAAAAAAAAAACGATTAAAATTGAAATAATGGAGGCAGCCAAGGAGAGATGAGAGATACATTCAAGTGGGTAAAAATCAAGGAAACTAAACAAAATTCTATCCATAAATTTCTCCAACTAGTTTTACATGGCCAACAGCCCTTTTAAGAAGTCCAAAAGAACACGCCCTTAATTTAAACTATGATTAGCTTCATTTCCTTATTTTAAGTATGGTGAAAAGGATGTGCCTTTTGCTTCACTTTAAATTAGTTTATAAAGGTTGTCCAAAATTTAGGAGAAGATTTCCTAAATTAGTCTTTTTATGGATAGAAATGGATTGGCCCCTATATTTATATAAATAATAAAAAAGGATGTCCTCCCTCACTCTAAACATAAGAACAAAAGATATCAATTGCTGTGATTTGGTTCAATTTTAGGCTACATTGTTTCTTAGGCTCATTTTATCCTAATAAGTTTCTATATAGGAATTAAAAAAAAAAGAAGCCAAGCAATAAAATCTACATTTTCTCCCTCCCATCCTGGTTTATCCCTCTCTCTCTTCCGAGAAGCTTTAGAAGCTTTTTCCTCAAAAAATCCCAAAAAATCGGTATCAGAGCTTGGTGGAGAAGATCAAGGGAAAAAAGGAGGAAGGTGTTATGGTATTCAAGAAAGGGAGATGCCGGCAGTTTTGTTTGGTGAGGCGCACAGGAGCTGCCTGTGCAGTTTTTGCGCGGAATCAGAGGAGCGTAGACACAGAAAACGGGACATGGGTTGTATGAACGGGAGCCTGCACATGAAGACTAAAACAGCGGGCTGGCAAGGGGCTCGCGTGTGGGCAGGCAGGTAGCAGGAGATAGGAGCTCATGCAGGGTCTAATATGAGCAGGGGCTGGAGTGGAGGTGGGTTCGCGTAGGATTGTGCACACGGGCAGGTGGGCTCCAGGCGGTCGGGTGTATAGGATCAAGCGGGAGGCTGAAATTGCTCGGGAAGCGTTGGGCTCAGGCCGGTGCTTTGTGTGAGGAAATCACATTGGGCTGGTGGACGAGTCACGCACGTAGGCTGGTGAAGTCCGAACTGAGAAAAAAATAAGAATGGGCTGCGGGATTCACAGCGCGGAATCGGTGTCGGGTCAGAGACCGAGGCACTGGGCTATGGGATTATGGACGGGATCAGACATCGTACGAGAGTGGGCATGAATTGCTAGCGTAAGGCATCAGACCGCACTCATGCGGGATCGAAAGATTGTTTACAAGAACAAAGGTGACAGTCGCTGGTGCGCAAGTCGGATACGTACGAGAGTTATTGCGGACAGTCAAGCGTGGGAGTTCAGGCCAGTCACGAGATCGAAAGCGGAGCTAGGGCGTCACAGTAGGCACAAGTTTGAGTGATTAGGTGGAGTAGAAGAGGTGACCGTCCGGTGGAGGCCTTTTTTCCTTGGGTTGTTCTTTGAAAACAATAGGTGGAGGAGAAGAGGCAATCGGTAGGAAAGAGTTTTTTTTTCTTAGGCTATTATTTGTGGACAGCATGTGTTTTCTTAGCTTTGTAAAATTGGACCAAGGTTGAGATTATTAGTAATTTGATCCAATTTGTATGTTGTTATCTTTTTTGCTATTTTGCCATTCATTTAGATAGTTTTAGTTTAATATGTATGGCTTGTATTGTTTAGGTAGAGCTGAATTGAATAAAGATTAAATCCTTTTTCTCTCCAAAATCTGAGTGCTCTCTCCCTCCTCCCTCTCCCTCTCCCTCTCATCCAAGAAGAGCAAGAAGCTCCTCCTCAAGAATTTCCCAACAAAATCAAATTAGAACATGTTATTATCGCGGGTATGCATGTCAGAAACTCAAAACTATACACTGTAACAAATGCAACTTGAAGAACTTGGAATATCAGATTGTAGAGTGATACTAAGGAATTGAACTATATAGGGGATTTTAACTATCGCATACCTTGTAAAGTAGGGGACTACCATTGACTGTTTATTACTTGTTGTAAAACTCTTCAACATGTTGAATTCTGCAGCAACTGAGAGTAGATCCTTGATCTCAGGCACGCCACCTGAGAGCAGCATATGACCGTTTGGGTGTACGGTAACATTTGTAACATTTGAACTATCCGAAATAAATTCCAGCAGAGGTTTTGGAATGTGAAAGTGCCTTGCTGAGTGCAAAATATGATCTAAATCGTGCGCTCCGACCCCATAAAGAGAAAACATATCATAATTGTCAATAGCCACAGTTCTGAGTCCCATAAGATTAGACAACAATGAAGTATCTATGTTGTCTTCCTCACTGGTGCCGCTGAAAAGAAACTTCAGGATCTTTTCATGTCTAGTACACTGTTCAGCAATCCCAAAGCTAAGGACCGAATCAGGATGAGCATCTGTTTCCAACCAAGTATTCAAATGCTGAAGCTTAAGAGATTGAAAATTTACTGTAGGAAAATTATACCGAAGTTCATAAACATGAGCTACAGATTATTATTAAAGATAGACTTGCATTGTTTGTAAAAGACTAAGTTTATAGAGAACTAAGAGAATTAGATACCTGACATGCAAGTTATGATCTCCAAATTGGCTAAGCTACTAATGATTTTTGTAAGCCATAATGATGTGATGGCGTGGAGTAATTAACTTAACTAGGTATCTATCCTATAAAACTCCCCAATTGGGGAGTATGAGGGATGAAGAATAATGAAAGTGTTTCCCCCTTTTATCTATTTTCATCTTCTTCTTTTTTCCCCTTCTTTGAGAGTAATTGATCAGCTCAAGATGCTCATTTATCATTCATCATACATGTCCAAACTACCAAAGATAATTTGTCACCTAATCTTGAAGAGATATCATTATTGTATAATCATTCATCAATCTATCATTTCTATTGTTGTCGCACATCCATCTTAATATTTATTTTTCTGAGTATAAAAAAATAGAATTTTAATGATTGTCCGTCATTTAGTAAATGTAGTTGCTGATAATCAGGAGATTACTAAGAAAATCAAACAGGAAGACATAACAAAAATTTTTGCTAATAAATAACAAAAAGTTCGATATCGCAGCAAATAATTGCATCTACACCATAGAGAACACACTGATAATTTCCTGCAAACCTCTAGAACACTGATTTTCTAGCTTACGTCTTTGTATATGCATGTCATAAGTATGCAATCATCATCATCATTAACATTAACCAGTTAGTTGAGGCTGGCTCTATGAATCTATTTTCTATTTGCTTTTTTCTTGAGTGTTGCCTAAAGTGTCGAGCCTAGGCAAATTATTCTGAATAACTTATATACATATCACCTTAGGTTTTTTGATTCATAAGCATGCATCATTCTTATATCAAGAGGCATACCATTACATATACATGTAAATTTATTACTTCATAGTTCAATATAAAGTTAATATGTCATATTTTAACATATTATTTGTATATTATATAAAAAATCACTTAACTTTTATTTTAACTTCACGTAATTTTTAGATTTTGAGGCGTCGCCTCACGAACGAAAAACGCCTCAGTACCCAATTGCGCAATTTTAAACCTTGTAATGACATGATTGAAGAGGCAAGCTCATAAAAAGCTACCTAAATATTTTATTTTAAAAATATTTTTTAGCAGAAAGAGGCATGAGCTCAGCAACTAATTTCTTTGATAAAGCATCAAACCTTGCATGTCTATAAGTACAGGTTTTTCCACCATTGGAATTGATCTTTGAGGATGTTTATGTGTTGGGAACATGTTCTTGGGAAACAATTTCTCTTCAACAGGTGGAGAACCAACCAGCACAGAAGCTGATTTTAAGATATCTCGTCTATTGCCATAACCTGGTAAGGATGTAATCTCCTGCACATTTGAAAAGAAAATTTGCATAAGGATGTGCATCTAAGACTTCAGAAAACACAACTCATATTTGTTAGGCCAATCCAACAGTTCTTTAGAATGGCCTGCATTCTGGAAATTTTAATATCTGCAGTTAAAGTGAAGAACTCAACAAGTACCAATACTTTGGCATTTAGTCCTTCTTCCAATCAGCTAAACACAATGGATCCATTAGAAAACGCTCTTGCTTATTCAAAACAAAAAAATTAACAACCTTTATCACATTGATATCAAGTTAGCTTAACTCAGTAAATGCGTGATTGAAAAAAAAAATTTCCAAAGACCGGTTTACAAAAACGAAGCTTACTATGTAGATTTTTTTCGTACGGAGAATAGAAGACTGATAAAAATAAATATAATAAGTATAAAAATTCCAATGTTTCATACAGTAACGAAGAAAATATGGAATAATGAAAGTTCCTATTACATAAAAATCTTGCAAGCGTCAAATAATGCTATAAAAAATAAATGAGACATCCAGAAGGAGGAAAATGAATGCTCAAGATGTATAGATCAAGATGATTGTCCATGAAAAGCATGCTTCTGCCACGCATAAACAACCCAAAATACTTGAGATGCTAAAATCAATAATTTAGTAAGCACAAAGTCTACAGTGAGTAAGAATAAAAAATATCAGTGACTAAGAATAACCATCTCGACAAATTATAGTACAAAACCTTAGGAAATTTTTAGTCCCAAGAAAGATGATTCATCTTTGAATGACAAACTTACAATCAAATTTATCATACTGCATAAGATACCTGGAGTATAACAATAGCATGATAGTAACTCTATATAAACCCAAAGAAAAAAAACTTTAACCATCATTCAACCAAGGCATACTCCTTCCCACTTAAAAGCAATAGTCATCCAATGTCTTCAAGTGACTAGACCGTAGAAGTTAAAAAAATTGCACCATGCATGATATAGAACATTCCCCATGTCTATTAAGACAGAATTTAATATCACTGTTTTTCTTAGTCTTATGGGGGAAACTCGCAGCAGTTTTAAAACCTTACCTCACAACCACAGCAAATTATCCATAAAAAGCTGTCGATGAACCTTCTGTGCTTTGGAATGAGAGATGCAACAAGTAACACCGCAAAATTACATAAAACCTAAAGACTTTCCTCAAAAAGGAAACTTTAACAACAAATTTCAAATCTTTCTATGGTTTTTGTTTCTTTTTTTGTTTGGAGGGATTCAAACCTTAGGCCAAAGTTCTTCCTAAAGTACATCCGCCAAAATGTGTAGTTCCGCAATCACACACTCATTCATTGATTTTGTTGATCCCTTGTAGTTTTTTCGCAAACCTACTCTACCTAGAATCTTCCTTTCACAGTGTATTTTTGTAATCTTGGTGAAAGAATAAACTCTGCAAATTGTTGATCATGTCAAGCTTAAAAAGAGAATAATTTCAGTCGGTATAAATATCATATCTTTGATGAAAATACGGCCCAAAGTTAATTTGCGCTATCATTCAATAACACACAGCAGGGATAAATCTTTACCCATGGGAAATTTATATTTTTTTAGCCGGTTTCTAATTAAACGGATAAAAAAGGTTAAACATGTATCACTAGAAGCATGTTGTGTAACACCTTACACATCACATTCTCAAAGATTACATATCAATCAGTAAAATAAACTCTCCCAGGATGGGGGAGGTCAGCAGTTTCCTAATTAGAGCAGGGTAAGAAAGATTTATAAATGATGATCTCAGCATCAAAGTTAGAAAATGTGACAATCTCCTTCATCTTCAAGGCAATGCTGTGCCCAAGGAGAAATTATTTGGTGCGGAGTGCAGACGTAGCTCTACGTCTGGACTCCAATTAAATTTGGACACGTGGATATTCACTGTGCTCTTTTTTAAGAAAAATTTTCTAGAAATTTATAATGTGTAATTCAATGTACTTTTGGCGCGCTTTCACTTTTACTATCCTTTTGTTGCGCTTTTACTGTCTTTTACTTTTGTTACCCTTTTACTGCGCTTTTGTTGTCATTTTGCTACGCTTTTGCTTTATGAGCAGTGAAATGGTGCGACGAAAAATAAAATGACCTAAAAACATGAAATCCAATTAAATCTCCACGTGTCCACTGCACTTTTCAAAATTTAATTGGAGTTCGGACGTAGAGCTAGATCCAGACTCCACACCAAATAATTTCTCATCCCCAAGCCACTAAATTATGAATAAACCTACATCAGACATCATGATAGTGTAGCCAATCCCTGTAGTTACATCTGACATGATCAAACAATTATTCCGCTGTATTGATGACGCATTAAATATTGTAAATTAAGAGATTACAAGTGCTAAAAGCACAAACAAAAATAAAACCCCTTATTCAATAAAGAAAGAATAACGCCAAACTCAATAAGCTCGCCCACCTGTCCATGGAAAGAACAATAAGCCAGAGAAAATATCTCTACGAAGCCATTTCATAAAATCCAATTTTTTTAGAGAAATGTAAGCATATCCAAAGCTAAACACAACTTCCATGCTTTTTGACTGGAACCTTGTTTTAAAACTTGCGCTATTGAAGCTAAAAACATATTTGGCTTCCGTAACAATACACCTAGTTCGAATACATCGAGCAAAGACTGGAAGCCCATCTTCGTAAAAGCTGATTGACTCACCTTGGAAGAACGGCAGCTGTTCTGGTCCTGATAGAAAGGAGCTAGGGAGAAAGCGGTGGATGCCATGAGAGAGAGCTCCGCCATCGCCAAACGACAAAGGCCGGATTTTTAATGAAGGCAAATCGATGGATTGAATAAGCACAAAGTCGCCGGAAAATTTCAAACGATCCCTGACCACAAAGAGCTCGCCCCTCCATTAGATTGAAAACAACTTGTGGCTTGGGCCTGCTGAGGGGGGTAATTATTTGCTGCGGACAGCGTACAGCTCTGCACTCCAATTAAAATCGGGCATGTGAAGTAGAAATGTAGAATTTTTAATTGAATTCTTTTTTATTTATGTCTTTTCATACCGGCTGATCCGACCTTTTATTATTATTTTTTGAATAATTATTTAGGATAGGCGCTCCATTTAAAAAAAAAATAGCAAAATCTTTCAAATCTAAATATTTAGAAATTCTAATAATACTCTAAAGAAAAGACGAGGAACAACATTGCCATCTCACATGACACGAAGGATGAAAGAATGTATGAAAACGTTGACAAATTGGAACTTGATTTGGCTGGAACTGTTGAGAATTTCAACTTATTGTTAAATTTCTATATTATCCCAAGTTATTTTAATGGTTTTCAAAGTCCTTTGAATTTTATTGAGTTCTAAAACAAAATTGCTTAGAGAAAGCACATCAATGCTCGGTACAAACGCATACAAATGAGTAGAAGATGCAAAAGAGTATTGCCAAGCCGGCTCAAGTTCGGCTCGTGAGCTCCTTATTGAGTCGTAAGCTAAAGCTTGAGCTCCAGCTCAACTCAATAACAAGCTCATGAGTTGAGCTTATTGAACCATGAGCTAGAGCTTGAGCTACTCGTTTACTAAATGAACTCGAGTTCGAGCATGGTTAGACTCGGCTCTTGAGCTCGCGAGGTGGCTCGTAATAACATATATTATTTTCTAAAATAGATTAAATTTTTTTATCTATATAAAAGTTACATCACAACATGAATAAAAAAATGTACAGCTGTCTTATGACGTCCTGTGCTGTTAATAGCATTTGGCTTTTTATGGAAAGGTAAAAAGCAGCATTAACTCTAATGTCCTGTTACAAAGAAGAAAAAAAAGAAAATCAAATTTCTCTTTTCACATGCAACAAATGACTTTCTTATATGGTAGACACGAGTCACGCAACTTTCTTCTCTGGCACAAGTGACATCATCTCCCATAGTGAAATCGTGCACTATCTCACAAGCCACTCACGAGCCCTCTTTTTTTATAGCGAGTCGAGCTCGAGCTCATGATTTGGCCAACGAGTCCGGCTCGAATTAGGCATGACACGCGCTCAACTCGACTCATTTACAACCCTAAATCTACATAATATGTCTAATTGAGTGCTTTAGAATTTTAGCTAAAATTGTAGAAGTATCACCCAATTCTTGACATAAGGGGGGCTACGACCTAAAATTAAAGAGAGCATAGAAACCTAAAGATGTTTAGAGCCATATCTAATGATTGACACCAATGATCAGTAACAGTCGCTTTAATCATCTGACCCCCATCACTTAACTATCATTGATCAATCATTATCATCCATCCATTGTCACCTACTTACTTGATCATTGCCACCTAATAATTGTCTCCCAACCATCATCACCCCAGAAATGTCACTTAATTACCATTGCCTAATAACCATCACTGAATTATCATCATCGCTCAATTACTATCACTCAACTTTCATCTCCCAATTTCCATCTCCAACATCAGTTACAAAGCCCAATCATTCTCTTGAATGTCATCATCTCCCTTACCCACTACTTAATAATTATCTACATAGCCATAAGAAGTCAAGTAAGTGTTCACCACTTTGTAATCATGTATTCCCTAATTAATGGGAAGAAAGGACTTCTATAAGCTCATTTTATCGTGTATAATTTCAATTGAGTTGAGGTCCGTTTTTTTTTTTATCATTTTTTGAGTTTCCCGCATAAAAATTGTTGGCATATCATCTCCTATATCCATGCTTATAGATTTTTATGAAATGCTAAGATGATAAACTTTCTCTCTAAATCCTTTTTTTTAGTATGTAATAGTGTGACACCAATTATGATAAATAATCATATCATTCTACAAATACATGTACAATGGTTAATGTGCATAACACCCATTAAATTGGAACTTCCCACTCTAACACTCATCAATTTGATAAACATTCTCGTTATCAAAGATAATATAATTTTGATAGCGAAGACCCTCCTAGCTTGTCCTTGGAAGATCATATTCATATGATGGAGGAGCGTCAAGCTCAAATCATTCAGCTCTTAGAGGAGCATAGTGTCACAAAGAGATCTTTCTTAAGTCTTCCATGCCGCCTTAGCACCTCAATCCTAATGCTAAGCAACCTAACTCCTAACAACGCTAGGGAAAAGCACTTGCAATTGGAGAGTAGAGGTTAAAATGGAAAGAGCACTCTTTACTAAGAAAGGTTCTTTACAAGGCTTGAAATCTTGAATGCTTTGAAGTGTATTACAAATGAGGGGGAGGGATCCTACTTATAACCCTCCACCCACTCCTATGAACATTCTAGAGTATACTACACAACACATATGTGTAGAGTTCTCTAGAAGACTCCACACAATTCCTACATATCATACATTTACATTACAAAATTCTAGAGAGTTCTGGAGTTCCCCAGAATTCTCTCCAAAACCCTAGATATATCATGATTACCCAAGAGATGTGTAGAACCTCTTAGACTTCCATAGTCTTCTAGAAGCTCCTAGTGACTTCTAGAGGATTCTAGGCATGAGTAGTACATTATAGAGCCTTCTAGAACATGATGTGTCAATGTCTAGAGGGCTATAGTTAATCTCATTAAAATTTTAAATATCTAAGGTAACTTGCTTATGTATAATTGTATTATAAGTTTAGATTTAATATCCAATTTAATTGAATGTTTTTTTCTTCAGAGTTGTAATCGACTATAGGAGGTTGCCTCTATAGGAGCCCAAGATCCCAATTAAAAATAAAACCTCTCTTAGTCCGCTAAAAGAGGGGAAAAATCTCTGAATGTCAATCATGCTTATTGTAAGTCAATTTCATATTTAAAACAATAGGTGAATGTGATTATTATATTGAGGGATAATTGTTACATTTGCTATGTCGAGTTTTAATACAAAAATAAAATTATTTCTTTCCTCAAATCGATAAAACAAGTGTTAGTTTATTCTTTGGAATAATTAACACTAATTATGTATATTTGATTAAATAAATATTATATAACAAATTGAGTGATCATCATTATACACAACTTTTAATTTTGTTTATAGTTCAGATTTCATCTCCTACCACTCGTTCACAGTTTGAGTCATAGAGCTTCTCCGGCATGATCAGAGAGATCCCTCCGACCAACTCCCACCAAACTTCACAGAGAGCATAAGGGGGATGCACACCATCAATCGAACAATCAAAATCTAGTGGATTGATGGTTTGCTTCACACTTATCCAGAAAACCTAGCTAGGGAGCTCGGGAATGGGATTTTAACGTAGGGAATGCTCCAAATGCCAGCGCCTTGTATCAAGCAGCTTCATCTAGCTCTCAATGACACTTCCTCTTCAAACACTGTGGTTGAAGGAGCATAAAAAGTATGAATTCGAGCGAAGGGTAGAGATACTTATTTGGAGATCACTTGAGCTTAATTTGAAGACGACTGAAGAGCTAGGGAAGCCAAGGGATTGCTCTAGGAACTTTAGGGAGGCTTTTTGAATAAAAAGGAGAGAATGAGGGGCTCTGCAATGGGATGCCCTATTCAAGCTTCATCCATGGAAAAATATGGAAATAATCATGCTTGAGGGACCCTGGATGCTTCCCAGCTGAAGGGAATATCCTACGAAAGTTTACTGGGCTCGAAGGAGGCTAGCTCAGGCCATGGGGGAAGCTTTACCCAGGACTTATAATGAGGGGATCACTAAGAATTGATCAACTAGGTCAAATCAATACTTGGGTTAAAGTTCAATGTACTCATAGTGATGTCTATGATGCATTAAAAGAGGTTCCATTACCTAGTTTGATAGATCCATGTTGAAGTTTCAAGGAAACTTTAACTTTGCCTTAAGTGGCATTTTGGTCGAGTGAGCCCATAGTCAACTCTGGGTCAACCAATGCCCACCAAAGTGCAATTTTATGGTTAGCATGTCATAACAAGGATTATGAACATGTTAAACGGTTTTGAGGAAGGTCCTAAGGTCAAATTCCATAAGATGCAAAGTCTAAGGGCATGGGCTATAAATATTTGAAGGTTTTATAGCCTTTTGATTTCAATTGAGTTTTTGGGTTTAGAGGACTTGGATTGACCTTAAATTTAGGGAGCTGACCCTTGAGACATGTCTAATCAATATACAATTAAAAAATTATGGATCCAAATTCATTTGATTTGATTTTAAGATAATTAAAAAAATCACCCAAAAAGGGTTATAGGACATGGGCTTTTGACCTTGAGTTTTGGTTTGAGATTCTAGATTTGAATGTAGTTTTGGGTTTGATTGGTTGAATTTGATTTGCTCATTTCAATGACAATCATTTAGGTGATTGTCAGTCATTAGTTAGAAGACATCAAGTGGTGGTCAACAGGTGACCACTACTTGATGAGATTTAGATTTGATTTGAACTTGATTTTTTTTTTTAATTTAAATTGAGTTGCAATTTGGATTTAATTTTGGTTTTGGATTTGATTTTGATTGATGAACCTCATACAAAGATGAGGTCAACAACACTGGGCGCTTAAAACACAAAAAGTTAAATGAGTTAAATTGACAGACTCTGTAGCAGGACGGGACACGTGGCATAGCGACGCTTGGTTTTGGAAACCAAAGCATCGCTTTATGCATGGGAGTATGCTGTGAAGTTAACAAGTATGAGTGCCACGCCATTTGAAAATTTTAACATCATTGCACCCTCACTAAAATAATAATGATTTTGACCTAAGCATTGGCTTTGAAAACAACATTGTGATGCCCACCAAAGTTCCATATTGGAAAAGTTAGGATCATTAAGTTTCTTTTTGAACCAGCAAAATTTCCTTTTGACCTTTTGCACCTGACACCACAAATGCTTAAAGTTATAGCACTGAGGCACTATATGGGTAACT